GTACCTTATTTATATCATAATCCGTATACCCAAGAATATTATGGCAAGATAGAGAATATTTATGAAAATAGTTATGTACATATCATTGACTCATTTGAGGGATAGGTAAAATAAACTCAAAATTGGAAGAACATTAAAAGTAGTGGCCTTGAAAATGTGCAAGAAAGGTAAGGTAATTTATGGTTCTGTGGACAGACTTCCTGGATTCTACATGCCTTTTCTGTGTGACCTTGAGCCTGTCTGAGCCTCAATTTCTTACTGGCAAAATAGAGTTAATAATAATGTGCATCAACATATTACAACTGTTAACAAGATTAAAGAATTAAATTTATGTAAAACATTTAAAATAGTGTCTGATACTTAGTAAAAACTCAAATATGTGCGATTTTTGGTGATTTTCCTTATTTTTAATTATAATTATTATTAACCATGGCTCAAAATACTGTTAAATCGTGATAAGCTTTTATGTTGGTGGATTCCTTGTACAATGTCACAAACACTAGATGATTAAATTAAGTTTCAGTTCCCCAAGAATATCCCAAGTAAATCTATTCACTAGTACTGAACGTTCTTTCTGAACATGATGTGCTTGAACTTCTATGGAAAACGCTTTTATACATCTTAGTTCCTCTCTTATTTGCTCTTCTTGAATTCTTATTGATATATTATGTCCTTCATGCTCTATTACTTATGTTTACTGCTTCTAATTGAAACACTAATTCTTCTTCAAATCTCCATATGGCTACATTACACTATATCTAGCCAAAATATGTAATACATTAATCTGCCTCTTATATCCTAACCTAAATGCTATTCTGACTCGTTACTATCAAATTGTCCCATAAATTGTTACTTCAGAGGCTATTCGAACTGCTCCTTTAGTTAATTATACCTCTATCCACTCAATTATTGAAGTCAAACTGGGAGTCACCTTTGTCTCACCCCAGGCCACTTCCTTGTCCTTTCAACTCTGTGTCTCCACCTCCATCCTAATTGCCACCACCCTTTCCAGGGAATCCGATAACTTCCCACGTTTCTTGCCTGGCTTATTTACTTCACGTTGCTAACTGTTCTACGTCTACTTCCTTCCAAAACCCCTTCTTACATGATGCCTGAATAATCTTTCTAAAATACAAACATGACTATGTCACAGCTTTTCCTGAAATCATTTAATAGTTCTTTATTATTATTAGGATAGTCACCCTAGTCCTGATAGACACATACAGATCTTTTCTATCTCCATCTCCTGCTATTATTTTTTTATGTACCCCATACTTTTTATAAATCGCTGAGAAATACTCTACTACTTATTCTTCAGAACTCAGGTTGTGTAAATCAGGGTTTCAACCAGAAAGAGATTTCATACTCCAATTATTTAAAGATCTCAAGTAAAGTATATTATAGTGGGTTTATTTACAAAGTTTAAGAAAAATGTGTAACGCACAAATGATAATGTCATAATTGCACTAGTAAAAGAGGTAGAGTATATGACCCCAGGCCTGTGGTGGTGATGGGAGATGGTTTTCTGAAGCTGGAAGGAGAGATAGGTAGAGAAAGCTGACTGAAGGGGTCCAGTGACTAAAACATAGGAGTTTGCAGGGAGGGGCCATGGAATGAACAATGAATACATTTTCTCTTGTTTTGATCCAGCACTGGGGCTTTCTCTTGGCCAAACCTCCTCCAGGAGGACCATTCATGTGGCCCACACAGTCTACCAGGTCAAGAAGCTGCAGGGAGGAGGTGGAGGTAGATCTAGAGAGCCAGATGGAAGATTTCGGAAACAAAGCTTTTCCAGATTCTTCCCATGTCTAGTTAGGCGATAGCTCTTGTGGGTTTCCATCGTTCATATTCTTCTATCACAGCACACACAGCTCTATAGTAATCATCTATTGCTGGTTTGTGTCTATGAGACCATGATGTCCTAGGGCCCCAAGCAGACCCTGGCCCTTATTTACAACTGACTTTCTCTTCCCTCCCCTCCCCTCCCCTCCCCTCTTCCCCCACCCCTCCCCTTCTCTTCCCTTCTCATTCCTTCCTTTCCCTTCCCAAAACAAACTTAAATCAGAATCAGCATTTAAAATAGATGTTATCATGTTGTCTTTATTTTCCCACTTAGAAAGCAGACGAGTCTTTTGGAAAACACGTATACAGACAGAATCCCACAGTTCCATGGGGTTTATCGGAGTCTCATACAGAAAGTGAAATTTCACAAATTATTTATATGATGAAAAGTTATGCATTATGAGAAAACAGTAAATGGTATGAAAATGGAATTATATATATCTGTGTCGTTCTTGGGTGATCAAGAATGACTGTGATCATATTCTAAGTAATTGTACGTTGACTGTAAAGGAGGAAAACTGAGCAACGGATCCTTGCTCTCTAATAAAGTAAATTTTAAACCATATATATGGTCAAAAGTTTGAAACAGAAGTTACAACAACAAAGAAACGTCAAGTAGGTGCTTGATGGACTCTACCATTCCTAATCTCCGCAAGACTTCATGCTGTATTTGATATGGACAATTGATATTTACTCAACTTTATGTAGATGCCATAAATATATGTAGGTATGTATTTATATCCCCAACCCACACACCACTTTTTCCCTCCATGTACCCTCTGACATAGAAATTCTGAAGTTAACATTCAAAATGTAACTAATATATTACCAAAAAAAAAAAAAAAAAAAGCCAGGATACATTGAAGATAAATACAATAGAATTTTATATAGCCTTGTTAACTTGGTGTTACAAAATATATCAGTTCTGAGCCTAGCTTTCTAGTACTTGAAACAAAGTTCAAAATATTAAAATTAAAAATATACATCAATTATACATTCCATTAATAAAGTAGAATTATGCTCTAGCTCCCCAGAATAGATAAAATGTCCTGGCTAGAGATTTTTAAAATATTAAGGTGGTGTTGCTTTGCACTGAACCCCTTTCCTGCTCCTAGAGACTCGGAGAGTTTTACTAAAGGTCACAGAAAACCCTCACCTCCAATGTAGAGTTCTATCCATGTCACATTTGGACATATTGCTTTAGTCTCTGGAGACCTGTCTGCTTGCTTTATTTACAAAGTTTCAGTACACTTAAATGTTCCCATTTTTCACAATTCAGTATATTTCTATGTCAAATTAACTGTCTATTCAGATTTCTGTATTGATAATATCTGTTATTTCTTACTAGGTCATAGTTTTACTTAGTTTCTATCAATTCTTTTCATTGTATTTTAAAATTCATTTTCATTTTGGTCTTAATGAATAGTTTCTGGGTCTGATTTTAGATTCAAAATCATACGTGCAGTATGTCCATTTCTTTTTAAATCTGGAGATAAAATTCATTTAAGCAAGTTGCACATGAGCTACTTCTGAACCCAGAACCTTTACTTTCGTACTATGGTTTGTGGTTTGGAAACCAGCTGAGGTGCTGATACACTGCCCATTGTTTGGACTCAGAAACTGAGTAAATAAAATCAACCCCCCAATTTTAAGCCCCTGAAGTATCATCATGAAAGAGGACTTGAAAGTAAGGCAATTTGCAGACTTAAAATAGAAAACTAGGGTACAGAAGAGATTCCTAATTGTGTTTCACAAACAAGTGATTTTTCTTTTATTTGAAATATGTGTTTAAATTATTACAAATCATCTATTCATACAGAATGCTTTCAAATTAACATATGACTGGTTAGAAAAAAACAGAACATAGAGTCTGGATATATTCGTCCAAGGAAGTACATGTCTGCCAGACACACGTGCCACACTCAGTAAACGGCAGGTGGGTGATGGAGCAGCGCTGTGAGCACTTTCATCACAGGGGAACTTCGCACAAGGCCTGTGTAACACCGCGTTGTTGCGTTGTACTACACCATGAATAGTACTGGTGTTTCCCGCAAGTTTCAGGAAGCCTTGTTTGAATTTTATGCTTATAACAAGGCATTTAGACAAGTGGTAAGTGCTATTTGTGATCCGTTATTTTGTTTTCAATCTTCCCTGTTAGTTCGTTGAGAGATTTTTCAATTGCCTTGGGAGCTGCTACAATACAGTCACCACGGGCAGGTATCTTCCTGAGTCAACAGATTCATTTCTGATAGTAATATTCAGCGACGTCGGAATACAGGAACAGATTGATAGAGTCATGAGGCTCGACTGTGACAGTGCTTGTCACGTGTATCGAGAACTGTGAAGGGTCTACACGCAAGGCGAAGTAAGCCTGATACAATTTCTTGGACAAAGGCAGAACACATACGTTTTCTAGATCAGAGACAGAGGATTTTATTACTCACAACAAAGGCAATAGCCATGGTAGCAGCATTTGCCGTCGTTTCCTGCATCCCACAGAAAACACAGGGCGATGGGCACGACTCAGATGGATGCTACACGCACAGTAGGTTTGCAGCATAGCTGAGGAACCCATATTAGGGAACCCAAATCTTCTATAATAGGCTGCAAGAAAACATGCCTTTTACCCCAAAGGGAGACATTATCTCTTTCATATTGACAGTAAACAAATCTGTCTCTTATTCTAGAGGAAGACATTACCTCTGTCTTCCAAGGCTGCTGGCTATACAAACATCATCCTTGCAAAGATAGCTTGAAACAAAAGTACTGCCAGTGCCTTGCTGATAAGTTGTGTAAAAACATAATCCAACCCATGGAGAATTGTTTCTGATAATGTGATACAGGCATGTGTCACTTAATGACAGAATGGGGCTGTTCTGAGAAAGGCATTGTTAGGCAATTTTGTCATTGGAGGACATCACAGAGTGAACTTACACAAACCTAGGTGGTAGGACTACCACACACATAGGCTATATGGTATATCCTATTGCTCCTAGACTATAAACCTGTACAGCACGTTACTGTGCAAAACAGCAGGTTAAATCAAGCACGAGGAAAAGTATGCAATCAAGAGATGGAATAAACATGAGATGTGTGCTGTGCCGATGCAATACGACAATCTATTTTACAGCAAAGTTTTTTTATAAATATAAAGAATGATACTCTGGTTTCTCTTTGGATCATATAAATCTTTCTCTTTTTACTAAAGATTTCCATGGAGAGGAACAATTCTGAGTTTATACTCAATTTTTTGTTGTACTATGCAGCTGTTAAGAAAGAAAGAGCTCTTATCCTTTGAGACAGAGGGACCTGGAAAGTATTATCCTAAGCGAAACAAGCCAAACACAGAAAGACAAGTATCATATGATCTCACTTATGTGGAATATAATGAACATAACAGTCTGAGGAACAGGGTAGTCCCAGAGACGTGGAAGTGGGGTACAGATTGACAATCCCCAGAAGAGGGGGTGGGGGTGAGATAAACCACAGAACTTATATGCATGTACTCATAACCAATGGACATGGACAGCAAAGGTGGGAACAGGGCAGGGAGGGAGGGGGAGGAGGATGTCAATGGGGGAAAAAAGAGAAACATCTGTAACAAAAACAAAAAAGAGTGATAAAAAGTATGGTATGGTAAATACATGAACAAATAAAATGATTATCAAGCATTATGTGCTAAACATAATTGTGTTTGCTATATTTTTTTTCTTTATTGATTTTAGAGGGAGAGAGAGATAGAAACATCGATGAGAGAGAACATTGACTGGCCGCCTCCTGCATGCCCCCCCCTGGGGATCGGGCCCATAACCTGGGCATGTGCCCTGACTAGGAATCGAACTGGCAACCTTTTGGTTCATGGGTCGATGCTCAACCACTGAGCCATACCCAGCCAGGCATTCTATACCTTTATACCACCGGCAGTGGTGAGTTTGTTTACACTGGCATCACCACAAACACATGAGTAACGTGCTGCCCAATGACACTACATCACTGGGCAATAGGAATTCTTCAGTTCCATTATAATCTTATGGGACACCTGTCAAATATGCAGTTTATCATTGACTGAAATGTCATTATGAGTCATGTGATTTTATCCAATTTTAACTTTTTCCGTTTTATTCAAAGAAACCTAATTCCTTTTGAATTTAAACTAAGAATAGGTTTGTATTTGTATTTGAACTGTAAGTGAACAAAGTTATATTGACATCAGTTGAATGAATCTTATGTATATTTGTTTTGTATGAGATTACATTAAGAATAAAAGTGTTTTCCTACTAAAATATATATAAACACTGAGAGGTTTAAAACAAGACCTAAGGACAAGGTACTTATATCAAATTTTACTCTTAATTATCACATCCTTTGTTAAATATTTCAGAGATATGCCGGAGTTTGCACAAATAAAAACATTATAGTGCTATTTCTGGATGTGACTATATTTGATTAATGTAGCTTATGTTACCATCCTCATATAACTGGCCAGTGTTACAAAGAATAGAGCATATCCACTATACATATTAAGTGGAATTATAAAATAAGATTTTACCATATTTTATGTACATATTGCTTATTCAGCCCAAAAGAAGGATCTTTGATAAAGATGATGATTTGGCACAATATTCAGTATTGCATTGTACTTTCCTGTGGTATTTAATTTTTGAATTTATAAAAAAAACAACAACATATATATCACTAAGTTCTAGTATTTTATTTTATGGCTAAGTTTTCATTTTTATAAGATTAGAAGCTGGCATGAAAACTTTCTAGGAGCAATTCTGCCTTCTTTGATGGCTGCTTAATGTGTTTTCCCAAGATCATTTGAACATTCGGATACAACTAGAAGTATGTAAGGAGGAAAAATACATTTTGTCTACCTTTTATTTGCATTGATATTTTCTAGGAAGTTTTGTTGTTGTTTCTTTTTCTTTTCTTCTAAAGGATGTTACAAATTCCTGAGCTACTCTATCACATCTAAGGAAGTTAATTATGGACAACTAGGGATAAATTTAATATAGTAATGTATTTCCTCTAATGCAGTATTAGCGTGTCTCAACAAGAGGGTTTGGCAAAACATAGATTCCTGGGTCCAACCCCAGATTTCTGATTCAGTAAGGCAGAAAATTTGCATTTCTAAAAAGTTGCCAGGAGATGCTTACTGCTGGTCCAGAGACCACATTTTGACAACCACTGCTCAAAGGAAAAGGTTCTCAAATGATAGAAATGAAGATTATGAAGATGAGGGTAGCGAGTAATACATACTATGTGCTACCTTGGTGCTTGGAAATCTATTACATGAATACATAAACTCATTATGTCTCTTTACTGTTTTTATTTAATGAGAAAACTGAAGCTTAAAGAGGTAAAATAAGTTACCCAAGATAACAACATTGAACAGTTCATGAGCCAGTTATTATGCCAAGCATTTTTACTCCAAATTTGTGCACTCTATGCTTGACAAAGCATAAAAAAAGTATCTACGGAAGAGAAAGAAATAGCTACGTAAGAGGGGCAATAACTGTACCGTACATGAAGACCTTTGACTCTTAAAAGCAGATGAAAGATGCACTGTGATTCAGGAGAGCCAGGCATAACCTGTGGCTGCTAGTAAGAGGTAAGGAGAAGTCTCCTATATGGGAATCAGCACTTGGAATCTAAATCCTTTAATAACTCCAGAGACAGCTCAAAGTCATGAAAAGCCCAGAAGCAACCTAGAAATGACAGGCAGAAAGATAAACACCAAAGCAGGTCAAACCAGGGTTTCTCCATAGTTTTCATATTTAAAAATAAATGGCTTCTGTTGCTCAGAGTAAACAACAATATTTCTTCATCAAAGTAGTTGAGACTGCAATGGTGTACTCTCTGTGCTTCATGCCCAATAAAAGTCTAAAATGATGTATCTGCTAGAGGACACATAAAAAGCACCATTAATCATCTGGTTTCAGTGACAAGGGCAAAAGACAAACTATCAGGGGGTAATGGGAATTTGGTGGATAAGCCTGAAAATCTGAATCATAGGCCAAAACAAAAATACCCGAGCCTCTCCTACCTTTATCTCTACTGAGCTTATTTCTGTTTCTTGAATACACCAAGCTTGTTTCTCACTTATAGACATTGCAGTAGCTCTCTCCTTTCCCCAGAATGCTTTATATTCCAATTTGTCCATGGCAGGTCTCAAATGTTGCAAACTCGGGGAGACACATTCCTGATCACCCACAGCGTGTAGCTCTTATCACCACATGGTACAGCAAGTATTTTATTTTATTTTATTTTATTTTATTTTATTTTATTTATTTAATCCTCACCCGAGGACATTTTTGCATTTATCTTTAGATAGAGTGGGAGGGAGAGAGAGAGAAACATTGACGTGAGAGAGACACGTCGTGTAGTTGCCACCCACACGACCCCAACCAAGGCTAGGGACAAATTACAACTGAGATACGTGCCCTTAGCGGGGACCAAACCCGGAACTCTCTGGTCCACAGGCCAATGCTCAAACCACTGAGCCAAACTGGCCAGGGCTAAAGCATGTATTTCAGTTATTTATTTGTTAATTACATATTCTTTTTCTCCAACCACTATAATAAAAGCTTGGTTAGAAATGGAACATTGCCCGGTTTTTACTACTATGTTTCTGGCATATCAACAATGTCCAGCACACATTACATTTAATTAATTAATTAATTTCTGAATAAATGATTGAAGGATGGAAGGCAGAAAGAGAGGAATAAATAAAAAGGGTTAAAATTGCAGTACTTGGCCCGGCAGGTGTGGTTCAGGGGTTGAGCATTGACCCATGCAACAAGAGGTCACTGGTTCAATTCCCGGTCAGGGCACATGCCCAGGTTGTGGGCCTGATCCCCAGAGAGGGGCAAGCAGGAGGTGGCCAATTGATGTTCTCTCTCATCGATGTTTCTATTTCTCTCTCCTCTCCCTTTCTCTCTCTCTAAAATCAATAAAGAAAAAAAAATTTTAGTTGCAGTACTTGAACTTAGAATGGATTAGTCATAGGATTTCAATGCCTTACCTCTGCACTAAGTTCCTAGGTTGCTCCTCGTACAGTCTTCTGTCCGCAGTTATGATCTAATGCAATGTAAGTATATAGATATAGTCTCTGATATTTGCTGCCCCGTTTTTTCTCTATGCTCAAAGGGGTATACATATGCACAATAACTTGGAAAGCTCCAAACAAATTCCCAGTTCAAAATTTGGTCAAATTTGTAGTCAAATTTGTTGTAGTCGACTCAAGACTAGATATTTTGATTCTACTTTTGTAGTGCTCACTTCTGCAGCACATATGCTAAAATAATTCTACTTTTGTATCCTGTCAGGAATATAAACTGCATATTTATATTCTTCTAATTCATTACAAACAACTTTTTCATGAAGTCGTATTGAAACTAATAGTGACATGGAGAGTAAACTCTGCTTGGTAATATATTTAGATTTTCATTTGGATGGAATTTAAATCAAGGGATTTGGAAATAAAGTGAAGAGGGCAATTCAATTATGATAAAAATTGAGTCGATGATGAAAGTAGCATCCTGTAAGCTCTAATGTAAACCCAGGCTTTGAAAAATAACATGCATAGTACTTAGAGATGTTCTGAAGATTGAAAGCTTTTCATGTGTGATCTTCTTAAAACAGAATCCATGTTCAAATAGTATGAATCTCTGTGCACAAAGAGCAGTAATGCATCCAAAGAGTCTTTCTACATTTGTGTGTGTGTGTGTGTGTGTGCACGCATGCACGTGAGGGGGAGAGAGAGAGAGAGAGAGAGAGAGAGAGAGAGAGAGCGCCAGTATGACAGTGAGGTTGAGAGAAAGAACTACCTAAGAGATAGTAACTTAAAAAAAAAAAAAGAGTGTTATAATTTATAAATAAATATTTTGCTTTAGATTTACTATATAAGTAGAAAGTTTTTTTAAACTTGCTTATCTACTACGATTTCTCATTGGTATGAAGTAAAGATAATACAATATGTTTTGCTTGTGGCTTTTAACTTATTCACCCACTATTAAAAATATGTGTTGAGTACCTACTCTGTGCTATTCTGCATGTTAGGAATGCAGCAAAGCATTTAATTTCTTAACTCTTACATGATTTCCTAAACTGAAAAGAAGAGCAACTGCTTCTTGGATGTGGAGTGATTGAAAATGGGATTGAATTCAAATGTATTCTGTAAAGGTCTATGACATAATATTTTGGTTTAGTATTTTATTATAATAAAATTTGATGACTTCCAAAAGATAACGGAATCAAGTAAAATTTTGT